AGAGTTATTGAGTTATTAGCCTGGCGTGACGTGAACATTCAGACTATCCTTAACTTGGGAGGTCATCTGAAGATCTGAGCCATCTGTGTGTGCATTCACATTACTTGGTGCATTTGTTTTTACAGTGCCATTCACTTGTTGTATGCAATCTGTCATAGTAATAATGCTTATTACTGTGATATTTTTCCTTCAAAATGCCAGGCCTCTTTTTGAGAGTGCAAGTGTGGGAAGTGATGACTTTGACAGTCTTTGCCTTAGGAAAACAAGCTGTTTTTTCAAGGCTGTTTTTGTGAGGGCTGAACATCACTGTACGCAGTGTAGTTATTTGTGTATCTAGAGACTTCCTAGGTCCTTTTTTGCTTTTTGAGGAGCAGATACTTACCATCCACGAGACTACCTCTCTTTCTACTTCTTTAAAAGACAAAACTTGAGGGTCAGTACGACTTCAGACAGAGAACTGTTGTAGTTTTGGGTGGGATTTTTTTCATTTTATCATTCCCTTGAACTCTCTACTTCTGTTATGTACAGTATCTGTAGTAGCACAGAGGTTGATTGTCACCTGGGTGATTTAAAGCAGACAGCTAAGGGATTTTTCATATTAGATTTTGAAGAAAAAATTTAAGTAAACTACATCCTTTATCTGATGAGTCAGTGAAGTTACTCATGTCAGGTTTTCAAAGTCTGTATTGGCAGGTGTGAAAACAGAGTACCTGCTCTGAAAAGCATGCTACTAAATGCACCTTACTCCCACTCCTTAGGAAAAAGGAAAAGCTTTTATGGTAGTAAAATAATCTAAGAAATATTAGCGCATAGATACTTTCTTTCACTTTAGAAATGTTTAGCCTCTCAGACTTTGTAATACATACTGAATTTCTCAATACTCAAAATTGTGTGTCTAAATAAAGTGATATACAAGGTTTCACCCTTTATGTAGCTGAATTTCTGCAGTTCATGCTTCTGATCCCAAGATACCTTTCAGTCTTCTCCCTAGTGTGTTCATACAGTGTTATGTGTTCATCTTCCAAAGCAGATGTGTGTCTCTGATGAGCCAAGGAATTTCATTAGAAAGAGAAGGAATAAGAAAGCCTGATGCCAGTACAGATGAACAGTCTGGGTGTCTGATTCCTACTAGTTCTTGGGAGAATTATTTGCCTTTTTTTCTGACCTAGGGGGATTTCTGGAGGCCCACCAAGATAAATGTAAATAGTATAAAGTACTGAAGTGTCTTGGGGTTGCTGTATTCTAAAGATCTCTTGAGAACAATGTTTGAGGGGAAGAAAAGGCATTCAGAGGTAAGTTTAAGTAGGCTACTGTCCCAAGTCCTCTTGCTGGCTAAGTTGGTGAATAGAAGCGTCTTTCTCCTAAAGACATTTCTTAAGTGTAAACTCCATCTCTGGTTTGTCCTCTACGGAACTCTAATTTTGAGATATATATATATATCCCTCTGATAGGAACAGGAGAAACTAAAAATAATCTTCACATTTTTTTCAAATTACTTTAATGTTATATTCCTTATGTCTCTTTTAGTGCCAAATATGCAGAGATTTAAACTTATATTTCACTGACTCCATTCATTATGGTACTGTGTAATTACCTGCTGTACCAGTTACAAGCTTCATAGTGAAATAATAAAATACGCTCTATGAGCTATCTGTAGTTTTCTCTATGTATGTGACTTTGCCTTTGACTAGAACAGAAAGAGGATTGTAAATCTGTGTGTATATATGGTATATGTCTACAGAGATAAAAATTACTTAGGTGGAAGATTAATCATTGGTATTTTTTCCATTTTTGTTTTTAATAGCTTTAAAAAGGATGAAAAAGGTCTAATGAAGGCAATGAAATCCAATGCAAACTTCAGATTTTTGTTTTGTAATGGATAAAACAGTGAAACTGCTGAGGTTCACTGCTTTTTTTCTTCGAAGGACAGGCCTGAATGTTTGCAGGCTATTTAACTCTTCATCTATTGCAAATTCAGGGGCTCTCTACCTTAGAAAATATTTTTCTTTATGTAGGAATACATTTTTAAAGTTTATATTGTATGTGTGTACTGTTTTCAAGTTCTATATCAAATTTCAACCTGTTTTGTGTAATTAGAGAACAACTTAGAAAATGTTATGGACCTACACTAATAATTTTACTCTCTGAATTTTATACTTAGGAATAGCAATATTGATTTTCTCAATTCTGTTGATGCTTATGATGCTTTTATAGCGGTTCCACTAAAATAGATTTCTTTGGCATTGAGGTTCTCTAAAATAATTCAGAGAGTAGAAGCAGTACAGTAGAAGCCATGTACTATTAGCTGTGTTTTTCGGGGTAACCGGTATTTCATTTACCTTATTGATTCATTTGTTGTCATCTTAGTGTTCATATACAGGTTGTATAGTGAACTTCTCATAAAAGGCTAATGTGACTTGTAAGCTAGGATAGACTAAATAAAATTAAAAATCATCTGAGAAGATAATATCAAGATGACAATGAAATCATCTGTTAATGTGGCAACATTAGTGATTTCTTGTAATTGGTTAAATCAGTAATGTGATTGTTATTTAGAAATACAGGCTTGAAAACAAGGCTTCAGACGAGCCTGCAGCTTCAAATTCTCACACAAATGATTCCACTTAGACAAATGCTTGTTATAACTGGCTTTTTAAATGAATGTGATGTGGGCAAGTCTGCAGTAAGCTGTCCAGAGTTAATAAAAAGTTGGCACAGCTTGATTAGTAGTGTGCCTTGGCAGTACCTGCGAACAACTACTTTTTCCACTCTGCTGTCATTTAATAGCCTTTCAAGCCAAAAGTCTACCATTTATAGAAATGATTTTGTTAATTAAATTGTCCATTAGGATATAGGCTTAGGTTACAGGTTTCATGCATCTGGGATTCTAAATAGCTATGACATGATGACTTATAACCACCAGTCCAGATTATCTCATTTGTAACCAACTTTTAAAGGTATTATTGTGCAAGGATGGTTTTCATTGTTGTGTCCTGCTGCTCTTACAATAAGGCTCTAGATTTCTAATGCTGAAATTTAGGAAAGTCTTGAAATCTATTTTTCTTTAAGGAGAGGGGTGGAGGAAGACATTTGGCTTCGAGATTATAAATATAGATATTCTTATATCTACTGTTACCTCATTTGTATAAATATTATTACATATTTAAATTGTTTTTGCAGAATTGTCTCTACATGCTTAGGATGTTATGTGTGCTATTAATGTGTTCTCTTTGCTAATTTCTCATAATGCAGTTTTCTCTCAGTGAAATTTACTAATACGAATCTTTCTCCACCTTGTTTTCAGTTGCATTGCATTTGAGTGAGAAGGTCTGTGTTTAACTGCAGCTAAATGAGTTGTTTCTCCTATCTATGTATCAGATATTCTCCACAGAGTCTTTAACTAGAAGGTAGTTAACTTTCAATGACAGTTCTATTACAAAATTGGCATCTACTCTAGAAAGAAATGCTTGCCTTTCTGGCTTTAAGGATTTTATTTGCTTTCATATTGGACTTTCATCTTGACATGTAATGCTATGCAGACAAGTTTACCCCTTTCCAATTTCCTTCACAAAATTTTTCTTTTAATTTACCATTTTTCTGTATTTATACTCTGTTTTACCTGCTCTTGTCCGCCTTAGCTCTTTGTTTCTAGTCTATAATTTTTCTGACAATCTCTTCTGAAAACTACATAGGTAAAGATAAAACCCTTTTTTTTTTTTTTTTTTTTTACTTTTTAAGTCTCTCTTATGTCAGTCTGAGAAGAAAGAGAGAAAGAGAGGACTTGGTTCCCTAGTTTGTGATCATTGAAGGGCTGAGATATGATAAAAAAGCCCCCAGTAAAAGTCGGCAAGGAAATTCTTTGCCATGTAGTGTGAAGGTTAAAACATTGGGGAATCTCAAGTGTAGTAGGGAGGTGGAGCTTTTCTTTTTGAGGGTTTGTTCTGCTCTGTTTCGTTTTGGTTATTTTAATAAAATTTGCAAAGCTTTGCCCTATCTAACATAGGAAATGCAGAAAATTTCGTTTGCTACCGCATTTATTTATTTTTATATGCACATTTGAAGTGTGAACTAGATTGTTTGGTGTTTACAGTTTTCCTCACGTCTTCTGTCTGTTTTGAAACCCATTTCTGATAGATCAGTGCTGTTGTGACTGCCATTGCAGGTGGATGCTCTGTGAACACCAGGGTATTCTAATTTGTTTAGGTTGGGTTTTTTTGAATAGAGGTTTTAACAGGACTAAGTGTTCTGCTGCTACTTCAAGTAGCAGAGCATTTGTCTCTCAGAGTCAGCTCTTCTGAATGTGTTTCCTTTCTGTTATTGCCTGCAGTGCTTGTAATCCATCCTTCCTTTTACTGAGAACTGCTGAACTCGGTAACAGATGTCATGGACATGATTCAATAACAAACCTGTTTGCTAATTTCACACACTTCATAGCGTTTAACTGCCAAGTTATACATTTTATTGGGAACTAGTACAAAACAGTTATTCCCTGAGCTACCTGGTATTACCAGTAATTTGAAATCTGATCACTAAGAAAGGTTAACTAGCTAATCTTGCAAAAATAATGTTGGAATACACATACAATTCCCACACACCCCTGCTAATATAAAAGTCTGACCCTAGCAAAGGAAGCAGCCAAAACTAAGTAGGTACCACTTTTGTACCCATGCTCTGTATTTACTTTATTTAACTCTGTGTATGTATGTATATATGTGTATATATAAAAAATTATATATGTATTTTAAACAGTGTGTAAACATACTGGGATATAAGAATTAAGAGGACTGAAGAGTGCACAAGTCAGTGTTAGTTTCTTTCAGCACTGCTGTGAACAAGGTAGTCTGTAATCCTTGAAATCATTCACAAGTGGAAGGAGGTAGCTTAGTCATTCTGACAGCTGTGGTGCTTTTCCTCGAACCATGAAGTTACATTGCTTTTCACTGTGAATAGTTTGGATTAGGCGCTGTTACAGATAGTAACTTAATGCTGTTCTTTTTCAGTTTTTCTTCACTCTTTAGAATTGGGGATATCTTCACTGAATAACTTGCTGCTTAAAGAAAGTAACAGAAGTTGGGAAATTCAGGTAGGTAATACTTTCAGTTTACTTTTCACTTTAAATGTTGATGCAAATATGTATGACAGATCTATAAATATTCGTTGTGGTACCAAAACCATCAAAGCATGATATAGATTTTAACCTTACTAAGATTGAATGTGGTTTCACGGCACCTTCTGTGAACTCCAATCAGCCCCTGATATGAAGTCCAACAGACTTATGATATTCAAGGGTTCTTGGTGCTCATAATAAAAATATATTAATGTTCATATCTAATGATAGGAGGTCCAGGTACTTTATAGTGCTCAATGAATTTAGCAAACTATTTTTGACAGTTTTGTCTTGTTGCCCCAACAGACTGGTATTCATGGTATGTGCAGCCACAAACACTTCAATTTCTTTTCCCAATTTTCTTACCAAGGAAAATTCTTGATGGATTTGCTAATTATATCTATTTCACATTTCACTTCCTTTGTTTCGACTAAGGTTTCTAAATAGATCTCCAATACCTAATTCTTACATAAGATGACAAAATTATTTTGGTATTCTTTGTGTAATAAGTCTCATGGCTTTAATAATTTAATTTGCAACTCTATATGATAGAGTGTTGTTTATCCTAGTTTGCTCTGATTTTAAGGATCCATCCAGCTGTATTTTCTAGTTTTTCCTTTGAGTACATGTGCTTTGGTATTGTGTTAAATAATGTGTAGGGATGGCCAGGGGTTTTAATAACCTGAATTTGCCTCCACCAGCATTCTCAGATAGACCTATTCCTATTGGACATTAGTCATTGATATGATTGTAGCACATTTATGTGGGGTTAATTGCTGTGGATTACACGAATACCAATGGAACAGTTAAACCCTGAAACTATTGCTGATTTCTTATGAGCTCAATTCTACATAGCAGTTTTAATTTTAGGAGCTTGTATTTCTCCTCTAATATTTTTCTTTACTGTTTTCATATTTTACTGTGTAAAAATCCAAGTCAACTCTGTGGAAAATGATTCAGTGGGAAATGTACATAAAAGTATCTTACACATGCTGTTTCCTCAGAAAGAAATCTAACTTGTGGAACATATTGCAGAAATTCTCTATACAATGTTTTGCAGGCTTTGTTGTCAATTTCTTTTTCAGGAACTACGTATCTTTCTGTTTTACCTTTCTCTATGCTTCCAGTCACCATTCATGTAGTATGTAATTCAAGTAGCAGTAAAAATTGATGCTTTACCCTAAAAATACTCTAAGTATATTGAATTTTGTTTCAATACTGGCAAAATTGCATTTCACGTTTTAAAGTACTGGTTAATGTTACATTTTCTGTTTTGTTCTTTCTGTCTCCCTTCCCCCGTGTTCCTTTGACAACTGAAGTGTTTTCAGTATGACTGACAGTACCAGACATGTTTGGACTTATCCTTCATGTTGTGCATTTCCTCTCCATTATCACCTGAACTTTTTAGCTGTGATTTCACTATTACTTGTAAAATGTTTCTGCCAGAGAGTCTGGGGAAGAAAATCTGCACAGGAATTTACCCTGGAAAAGAATATGACAGAAAGGTGATTGTATTAGTAGCGTGAGAAGCTGTAGTGTGAAAGGCATCCCACACTGGAGCAGGAGCTGCAGTCTCTGTTGCTGACTCTGCAGCTCCTCCTCTAGCCTGTGCTTACTGCTGGGACTCAGGGGCATCGCCACCTATTTTATATGCCCACCATGTGAAAAAATGTTTCATTGCACAATAAGAATGGGCTTTGCAGATGGGGAATCTCCTTCCTTTTGACTCTGTCAGGAAAGGGGAGAGAGTAAGAAACAGTAGCCCAATCATAGTAAGTAGCCCAACCCAAAGGTAATTATTAAATAGTTTTTACAACTGCCAACCCCATAAAAATTCACAACCAGAAAAATCCCATCCTGTGAGGGTGGATGGAAGGGGGAAGAAGGAAGGCAGGCAGTTGGGTAACATGTGTAGGGGTGATAAGGGTGGGTAAAAGATGATGATGATGTCTGTTTGAAGAATAAGGCTCAGAGGAAAAGAAGAGCAATATCTAAAACAAGAGGGAAGTAAGGGCTGTACTGTAAGCAAGAGCAGGAGGGCACAGGGGTGGATGGCAATTGGTGCAGGAAGGCAAGTGGGGAAGAAACAGAACTTCTAGAGCAGTGGTTCATTGAGTAGTGATCCCCACTGGAGCAGGAGCAGGCAGAGGAAGCAAATAGAACTCCACAGTGCAAAAATATGTGTATTTCATTCTTGTGCCAGAAGCAAGTGAAGTGCAGTGGGTGTTCCCAACCTGTTGGCTGGCCTTTCTGTACGAGCTCCAGGAGTGTCTGCAGGAAGCTTCAATCATAGATCAGGAAGTACAGCCTTCCTGACCTGCCTTGCTGGCAGCTATGAAGTTGATGACAGTAAAATCTCCATAAACACCTTATGATGTGGCCTATTCCAGATTAAAAAAAAAAAAAAAAAAAGGAGAAAAATCCTTAGATCCTAATATTTTACTTCATTTATCTAAAGTTTTTGAGGTTCAGAAATTGAAAGAATGTAGGATAGTGATGGACAGTGCTCTAGTGCCATTTCCTGCTGCCTCTTTGCCTAGAACTCTGCAACTGTTCCTTTCCCTGCCTCACTGCAGTTGTGTGGGTGGACTTGCATGTTTGTTCACATGCCAAGGTTTTTTTGTCGCATGACTCTGACCATGTGCTTTGTGGATGTATTTCTGGTCATGTGAAGTAGAAGCATTTAGGCTTTTGGCTCCTCTTCATAGTTAGTATATTCCTCATCCAGCCTCATGATACTCCTAAACATACACTTTCCAACTGTTTAGAGAAAACCCAGAAAAATATGAAAAAACAAAAACAAAACACCCAAAAAAGTGGTTTTCCCAATTTTTTCATTCTCATATTGTTAAATCACTAAAGTTCTAGAATACTGGGGTGAGTGAAAAGATGGAAAAAAATTTTCTCTTGTGAAGGTAGTGTCAAAACTGTAAATAATTTAAGTTTGACAAGGAAGCCTTTGTTCCATTCATGTCTAGCACTAAAAGCTGATGCAACATTCCTGCATTACTCTTGTTGGCATCCAGAAGTTGTACCCTACAATGTTGATGAATTGTTCATATGTTGTGTGCATCTTGATGCCACCATAGAAAAAATTCACGTCGTCAAAATCTCAATTATATCTTGTATGTTTCCTTGCTTTCCGAGTACATGATTTTCAAATTTGGTTCACAGCCTGGCTTTTCTGCACAAGATTTTAGTTTCCTGCATAAGGAAATGTTTAGACTTCATCCACCATGCTTTCATTAATTCTCTGCGATTCTAATTTTCGGTTTAATAATTGATTCATTAATTTGGAGCAATGCCATAAAGAGAAATTTTTATTTTTATAATTTATGTAACTGAAATTTTATACAGTATTTTTTACTTTAAGAGAAAAGGTAAAAGACTCACATGAGATGTTGGATTTCACCATTTTACTTCATGAAGGACTTTTGGTTTTCAGTGTAGCTTAACTACCTTTAATTTCTTAGTTCATATCATCATATTAATCCTGTAGAATAACTGAAGTAACATAGGTGGAAAACTGTTACTCCGTTTCAGATGCCCCTTTGCGCAACACATTTCATTACTGCTGACTCTTGTACCATCTGTATTTGTACCTGACTGTCCTCCACTTCTTCCATTGTGAAACTTGTGTCAAATCACTGGGGTGCAGCTGAGTTATGTCACCCATCCAGCTTCTCACATAAGTGTTCAGAAATGGTTTAGTTTATTTCCCTGAAACATTTTATTTGCATTTAGAACATAGCTGATCCAGCTGAACTATGTCAATGTGAAAGTCCACAGTCCTTTTGCTCTCACTTTTCACAGTATGTGGAACATGAAGCACAAATTCTCTAAAGCTTTGTGGCATTGGAAAGAGAGGAAAGCTAGGAATCAAAGTCTGGCAATAAGAGAATTGAAGTAATGGAAACCAAATTTCATTATACTTATCTGTATGTGGAGAACAGTAAACAAAAAGTATGAAAGAAATGTGTAGGGAATATTGGTTGATGTCTGAATTAGATATTTAAACTGGTTTGTCCCCCTCTGTGCTGTAATGGGGAAGAGAAGGAAAGCACAAGATTCACAAAGGAATTATACTGGGAAATACACCTGCCTGATGTCAAGTTTCTGTAATTTGAAGTACTGAATATACACCTGAGAGATTTTTCATTTTTGGAGTTTTATAATTAGACTTCTAATTTGCTATGGAATCCACTTTATATTACAGATTGAGTAGTTCTATAAGACTTATTTTTCCTTTCTGGAAGTTGTATGCTATAATCTTTTTCTTAAATTGGCTAATCTTACGTACAGTGGGAAATAAGACTTCCTGAAAAACCTGTTTCATGCCCTCTCACACTGTACTTTGCAATCTTTTTTTTTTTTTTTTTTTAATATGTGATTTTATACAGGAAAAAAATCTGCCATTTTGTAGTTAAGGCACAAAGCCCAAAAAGTGTAAGAATATAATTCTGGCTTTTTCCACCTTGAGTAATCACATCTCCACTGAAAATGCCCTGTTTTCAGTATTGTTTAAGACAACGTGCTCTCTGCAGAGAGAATGCCAAGGACAGATGTCCTGGGTGTACTTGAAAATTGGCATCCTGTTTCCTGGGAGAGCCTGGGCTGAGTATCAATAGTCCTTGCCATGTTTAGGGTTATTGTTCGTCTTCTGTATGTCAGATTTTTATGTGCCATGCCATCCATTCACTAAAGCTGCCAGACAATGTGTTGGTGTTACGCAGTCAAATTAGATTTCTATAGGTATGAAATAATTCAGGACTCCTATTCTGCAGCATGAAGTTACTTGAAATACTTAAAACCCAGTAAGTTAGATAGTTCAGAGGCAGAGAAAAGCTCCTGTGAAATCTCAGAGCTGTCTGAAAGAGAACACAAGCAGGGGAGATCTGTTTGTTCCATTAAAATACCTAAATTTTCTTGAATTCTGGGTGGAGCTTCTAATCATGCAACTGTCCATTATGAAAGGA